TAAATACGTGTACTAAATACTAAACAAGCGCACATATCGTATTCATTTACAGCATCGGATTTTAAAACAATGACTCGTGGAATCACAAAGAAACTGTTAAGTACGTATTTCACACATTACCGAGGACCGCGGTAGAGACCGGTACAGCGGTAGAGACCCCTAATTATAAGCAGTCCGCGGCTCTCCCCGGCGTTCTGCGGTACACCGCGGTAATGACCGCGGTGCACCGCCCGTTTGATTTCCTACTCTTCCCTTATAATAGTCCAATTGCCTTTGATAACTAGTTTTATTAAGCGGAGGCCAAATATTAAAACGGATTGAAAATATTATCACAGTATTTATATCATTGATCAGTTTTATATTCAGGGGAGCCGGATTCTGTGTAGACTCAACTGTTTGAAGGCCAAAATTGCTATTTCGCCTTTTCATATTTTTTTCAAAAAAATAATCAAGACTTGCAAGCAGCGGAAAATTTGGTCAACAATATAATTATATAATATACATAACAATTTTTAAAATGTTGAGCCAAAATATTGTGGAGCAGTTAAATAAACTACCGGTACTTACTAAGATAATCTCCGCAATCGTGGCCACTTGTAATGAATATTAGAATCAACACTAGTAAATGTATATTATGTACCATAAATACTCATGCGTCATTTCAATCTTTCCTGGCACCTAAATAACAGTCCAATTTAGGTTTTCCAGGTCATTGATGCCTATTCAAGAGCACAATGTTCATTGTAACTTGAGTGAATAGGAAAACACTGGCGTCATTTTTTCTCATTCATCTGTCGAGGCTTTCAAAAGTGATGAGAGAGTCATAGTGATTTGTGCGAAATGTTGTCCTCTTATAAGCCATGAATTGAATCTTCAAATTTTGGCTGTCATTGTGTTTATAAATTTTGGAATTCATATGCCTTCCACTTACCGTAAGTGAAATGTCTCTGTGCTCATGTTGATAATGAAGTTTTTTGGTACATGTTAATCAAAATGAACTTTTTATACCTTATAGAATCCATAGCATAATACTGTAAAATCTGTATTAGAAGCTGCGGCTTCTATTAAAATGGTACAATGCAACAGAGGGGATGCGGCTTCTATTAGAGCATCTACACATATGAGAAATGGTGAATTTTAGATTCTCAATTATTCAAAAAGAATGGGTGCGACTTCTATTAGGGATGCAGCTTCTAATACAGATTTTACGGTACTAATTATTCAAAGAAAATTTCAGAGCCTTATCATAAATGGATTATAACTAAAACTGTAGTTAAATTGACAACCCACTTTGTTATGAATACTAAATATTTATATTTGTATGTATTTTAAATAATTAATAAATCACACAGTCAAGTATCAAAATTATTTTAAAACATCTTTTAAATTATTTACATTTTATAGACATTTAATCGCAGAAGTCATAATTATTCAAATAAAGAAACAATTTCACTTATCCATTGATTCAGCGGCAACACTGGTCAACTTCTTTCGGCTCATCCCCAAATATTAGTAATAGCACAATGAATAGTCGACAAGCACGGGACAGTATCGATGGTACACACATTTTCGGCAATTAAATTTATTTTAATCTCCCTCAAATAAATACTTGGCTTGGTCTTCTTGTATAATTCGATGTAACATGTTATCATTAAGTTTCGGGCATTGCTGTGGACCGCCAGTATCATGTTCAGTATCACCAGTCGAGGTGAATTTTTTGCATATATTATATGCAGTGGATTTTGTCACACCAACCCTTTTCGCTATGTCAGCAAAAGATATTCCTTCTAAATACAGCTCAACTATCTTTTCGCGAATCGCAGGTGGAGTCGGGAATCCCTGTTTACTCCACCACATGATGACTGTGAATGTGACAGTCACAGTCAACGAGTGCGTGATTGGACAGTGGAGCGGCGACTTGAAGTCTGGGTGCGTCGCAAATGTATCAAAACAAACTTTATTTTAGCAAACCAACTTCAACAACATTGGAAGCAATTGCTGTACATTTACCGACAATGTTGATAATAACTTGCTGTAGTGTAGCAGTATTTAGTTAAACATAATCGTTCAAAGAATGACTGAAACGATAGTAAATGTAAAAATGAACAACGTATTCTAGTGAAAACCCAAAAATAAACATTGCTGTGACTTTTATGCCACTCACAATTTACTCTGTATTTTTTAAGAAAAAAATGTTGATATTCCTTTAATTGCTTTACGATACTCATTTAAATCTTCAATAAAAGATTTATTTACTTAGCAGACATATGTGGGTAAAATTTTACGTAACCAGGATTTTTTGAATTAGTGTGAATTATGAGCTCTAGTAAATAATAGAGAAAATAATAGTGTGAATTTTACTTCCTGAGAATCTTACTATACCTCTATATTTGATCTATCTGTGCTAGTTAATTCTATTTTTGATCTGTCTCTGTGCTAGTGTTAAGTCTAAATCTGATCTGTCTCTGTGCTAGTGTTAAGTCTAAATCTGATCCATCGCAGTGCTAGCATTAAATCTATATTTGATTCGTCTCTGTGCTAGCGTTAAGTCCATATTAGGTCAGTTTCTGTGTCAGTCTATACTTGATCTGTTTTTGTGCTAGCGTAAGTCCGTATTTGATCCGTCTCTGTGCTAACGTTAAGTCTACACATTTGATCCGCCTCTGTGTTAGTGTTAAGTCCATATTAGGTCAGTTTCTATGCTAGCGATAAGTCCATATTAGGTCAGTTTCCGTGCTAGCATTAAGTCTATATTTGATTCATCCCTGTGCTAGCGTTAAGTCCACACATTTGATCCATCTCTGTGCTAGCGTTAAGTCTATATTTGATCCGTCTCTGTGCTAGCGTTAAACCTACATATTTGATCTGTTTCTGTATTAGTGTTAAGTCTACTGCTGTGGCCAGTGGTGGAGTATCATAATGTAAACCAACACATTTACAATAAGCTGGAACCTGTGTGGATGCAGTTAGAGTACAGTATGATGAGAAACAGGAGAAAAAGATACAGCCATAAACGTAAGTTCTGTATCCTATGATGGAATGAATAGCTATGTATCTATGAGTAGTTTTAAAAAAAATTAGAGTCAATGTGAAACTATTTGCAAGGTTGTGTTTGATTGGCTACCGAACCCTAACACCTAACAGTCAGAGAGCAGGATTTTAAATGTATCAAAGTTATATATGTGCTTCTTCTGAACTATAGAAGTTATTCTTATGCTCATTAGGGCTGTATGTAAATTTGATTTTATATTGTTATGCAAATAAGCCACTATGTAGTTCGAATTATTTTGTGGGATGATTTTTGTTGGGTTTTCTATAGCATGAGTATTCACAAGTAATCCTTAATTTTTGTTGGTTGGTTGTTGGTGATCTTTCACTCGTAAACAAGCTCAAAGAATTTTTTTTAGGCAAATTAAAAACTGCCACTGGTAAAATACAATTTATCGCAAGTTTATTTTCATAAACTTTTAACCCAATACATGTACTACTTTGTTTATCTTTTTTCATTACCTCAAGTACGCTGCATGCACCTTTGGAATGCTTGCATTTTTTTCACTCATCAAGGGAAATAATGATACAGAAAACATTTACATTTAACAAAGAACAGCTCCTATTGATATTAATCATAAAAATTTAAGTTACTTTGATTTGACTGAAATTTGCATTTTTGCGAGCTATTCTCGGGAAAACAAGGTACATTTTGTATTGTAAACTACTAACGGTGTC